CGTGCATTGGCCACGTCAGCGTGTCCCGACAGCCGACGCGCGACCAGGTCACTGGTGAAGCCGACCGTGCGTCACGGTCGAAGCCGACGTGTCGGCACGCCCGAATTGCCGGCCGTACGTCACGTCCGAAGCCCGACGTGCATTGTCACGCGCTCCGTGCAGCTGACCACGTTGTCACGCTCTTAAAGCGGCGTGCCGAGTCACGTCTGAAGCTGACTTACGTAGACATCGGCTGAAGCCCGACAGTGCGTTGTCACGTGGTCGTGTCGTGACGTGCCTGCTCTGAGCCGTATATAAAATACCGTGCCTCCCCAGAGCACGGGCATGTTAGAAGCTCGGTTTTAGAATGCTTCGGTTTAGAAGCTTAGTTTTTAGCAGCTCAGTTCCGTCAGCTTTCAGCGTTAGTTCAGTCAGTTCACGGCAGCTGCTTAGCTGAAACCCAGGCCAGACACACCAGGGAGCGAATCCGTCGGAGCAGCGCAAGCACAACGCAAGATACAGCACGAAGCAATCAGCGATCTCTGCAGGACTTGGGCCGCCTCTCTTACAGAGGCTAATCGTTTTTGCGTTAAGGCCTTGCCGCCTAGTTTTGTATCTTGTTCGCGCTATAACTCCGCCCGGCCTTACGCCTGCGAGCGAGATTATTGTACCCGTTTTTATGCCCACTTCATGGTCGGTTTGACCCAAGAGCCCCGGAATAAATAGCCCCGCACCTAATTCCCGGCTGTAAACACTTTCATTTTTGAGTTGCATGTTGTTTGTTCTTGTCCCTGACGTGTACTAATCCAGTGGTCTCGAACAGTGGGAGAGTCCCACCGTAACGCGGGGAAATAACTGTTACAATATATATTTACGTTATTAATATAAACACACAAACGTATATTTCAGTAGGCTTTACCTAATCCCCAAAGTTCGCGGTAGGTGTGTAATTAAATCAATGACACCAGAATGATATCACACACATGATATTAGGCGCAGTTAAGCTCTCACAGTAACGGTAAAGTACGTATGTTGGGGTGGCCTATGATGCTGGCGGATGCTGGCTTTTGCCACGAGTGGGGCAGCATCGTCCAGTCAGTAAGTCGATCGTAAATATATATTTAAACACGCATACATACATACATGTATTTCAGCAGGCTTTCCCTAATCCCCAGAGTTCGCCGTACGTGTGTAACTCAATGACACAAAGAATGATATCACCCGTCAAAAACCCTCACAATACGTCTATGAAACAACAATTAAGATGTGTTACTTTACTCCAGAAGCGATATGCGCCAAACCACCACACGTACAGGCAGGTAAAACTAGCTCGCATACGTTACCACACGTTAAGTATGTTTTCTAAAACATGTCAGTACAAATTGTATAACATTCTGATGTATTTCGGATATAATTAACATAGCCTAACTAGTACAATTATTTCAATCTGTCATGATAAAATTGGAAGCTATTAGCAAAACATAAGGAGCCGATTACAATAACATACTGCTACAACTAATTTAACGTTCTGGTACAAATTACATAAAGTTCGCGGTAGGTGTGTAACTCAATAACACAGAAATGATATCACACCTCGTTATATTAATGATATTAGGCGCAGTTAAGCTCTCACAGTAACAGTAAAGTACATAAGTGGGGGTGGCCTATGATGCCGGCTTTTGCCACGAGGGGTCAGCATCGTCCAGTCATGTAAATCGATCGTATTATATTCGGAGGAAAGGCGGAAGGGAAGATAGCTGGGGGCGGTAGAAGAAGAAGCAGGCTGCGCGAGGGACAGGGGAGGCAAAGGGTAGGAAGCGAGGGCATAAAGTAGGTGTTTTGTACCCTACATGCTAAGGCGCTCTCCTAATTATAAACACATGTCAACTGATAAAAGTTTATTAGGGAAATCTATGCTGAGATACCCCCTAACCATTTTAAATGCATATTCATCAGGAGTAGATAATAGGGACTACCTATTATCTACTGTTATTCATCACAAAATATAACTCCTCTGGTGAGATATTGCGCATGCGCTAACACACTAACATAGCCAGATTGTGTACTGGCTGGTATACGCAGCGGGAACCTTACATGCAAGGTCTTCCTCCTATTTAGTAAATGATGTCTACTGATGGAATGTTATCATATTAATCTATGATAGGATAACTACTCTTCATTTTAAATGCATAATCTTTGCAAAATACGATTGCTCTCGGGAGATATTGCGCATTCGCCGCACCGTGTTGTGCCGTCTGAGTAAAACTTCATAATATAGCTTGCTGCGGGGGAGAGAGGATGGGAGACTGGGGAAAGGCGGCCGGGAAGATAGCTGGGGGCGGTAGAAGACGAATGAGGCTGAGCGAGGGACATAACAGAGGAGACAAGGGGAAGGACGCGAGGGCATAAAGTAGGTGTTTCGTACCCTACCTGCTAGGGCGCTCTCCAAATTATAAACACAGGTCTACTTATAAGTTTATTAGAGAAATCTATGCTGAGACACCAATACCGCGTTCTCTGCATTCAAATGAAACGTAAATTATAACGTGCTCTCTCTGATGATAAGGATGATATATATACCCGCCTGCAATCCCCACTAACCTTGATGATATCCCTGGTGGACGTGTGACTGTACAATAAAACCACATCAGTGACCACACTGGAACTTCTGTATGTTATGAAGGTAGAATTCCATATATAGGCAAGAGCACATAACGTATTAGTTCATGGTACGTTCACGGTATTGTGTACAGTAGCATGTACCTCCGTGTGTAGGACCCACTCTCCTTGTTCTTCAGCACATGTATATATTACATATATTATTATTTATTGGCTATCTTGTAATATCGTGGTTCTAGCGAACATGAATGGATGTGCGCATGCGTTGGTTGAACGTCATGCAGTGTTATAATTTTGAATAAAGAAAAGCAAGCAATATGCTCTAACTTTGAAATAAAGCTTTAATTAATATCACAAACACTAAAATACAGGCCAAACGGTGAGAAAAACTATCCTACTTATTAATGTGAACTTAAAATTGGTGTACATCACAGAACTGTGTAATACGTACACTCAACTGTTGTTTAGTAGTTTGCCAATTTAAATTTACAAACTATCCAAAATATGCACAAAACGGGGTTTTATATTGGAAATATAGCTTGCTAAATCATTAGACATCACTGGTACTCGGTTGGCTGGTATATGGCAGGTGTATCACACGCTTTATTATATCAAAGCCTCATGTTACATGCATGTACTGAACTTCAGTGGCAAACGATGGCCACAGGACACTTGAGTATTAACAAGAATCTACCAAAAAATTTATGACCTATGTTCTGTACATATATGCGGTGGATGCGAATTTTAGAGCATTGACAGAACTTTGTAAGGTCACATCTGTGTCCACGCGTTAGCAGAGCAGTTGCAGCAAAGCTGCCAATTGCTGTGTAAGCAGCATTGACACATCCATAATCACAACGATTAATCTTTTCTCTTCTTGAATGAGATTAGTTGGAAGTAGTGCAAATATAAAATGGCCTGCATTGTTGTATCACGTGTTTGTTGCACTGAACTCTATTATTGAACAGATACAAATGTTCAGGAGATATATATATAATTGCTGTGCTAGCTGTACTTTACTGAGGGCGTTGAGCGTTCCATTGTCAACTCGTACTATAGTCAGCTTAACCCAGTGGCAGCAAGAGCAAGCCAACACCACCACCGTGCTCACGCTATGACATATATATATATATATTATATATGCGCAACACACAAGACAGGTCAGCTGCCGTGGGCCGCACAATTTGGCAATTCGTATTCGGCACGACATTTTTCAGATAGGCGCGATGGATTTGTAGTAAACTTTCTGTTCATTCCCAAGACTTGCAGTTAGCATGCACGAGCATGACTTCTCTTTCTTATTCACAACAGCTCATTCACGTTGACGTGTGTGTGTGTGGTAGGATAGAGCTCCAACCTCACGGGCCTACTGACCAAGCTTTGTGCCCCAACTGATTAGTGTTCGTTACACAACTCACTAATTACTACAGTATTTTATCAGTTCCCATTTACACCATATAGTAGCTGCGATGTATCGAGAATTCGCCAAGAATATAAACTGCAAAATTTAAACATGCCGAATAATGACAGAGAAACTCAAGTGAGCACGCAAAACGTGAATATAAGTATGATGTGATCAACTGATATCGCTACAAATATTCACCACTAAGAGTAGTGGCTAATAAAACTCCGCAGACATGCACATATACGTGATGCATAGACAACGCAGATATGCACTGACGCTGCAGTACCTCCAGAGCAAACCGTTGGTCACTGCTAACGTGAACTGCCACTAGTGCGATACCTGACAAACAAGATCTCAAGTGGAACGGGCAGACCAAAGCAATTCAGTTACAACCTGAACAGCTAGCTGTACATTGTAATCCATTCCACAGCAACACTCAAAATAGACAGTGTGCTCATACATATGAATAGATGAAGATTCAGTGAATGAAGCATTGCAACCCAGAGCTCTGAACACTGCAGGGTAATGCAACTGATGCCGCTACAAGTTCTTATACTTTGCACACACAATATACAAGACAACCTTTGTGATTGCCACTGGTGACAGTGGATGTAAAATGAATCGTCCAATCAATGGCAATAAATATTAATTTGCACAGACGGGCGTGCCAGCACAGGCACCTCATTTCTCTTCGCACCATTCATTTTCCTTCCGTACCTGAAACAAAGGGTGAAAAATGTACAGAACACCACATTTGAAAAAACAGATTGATTGTCCAACGTCAATTTTGTCACCACGTGCTAGCAAATACTTAGGCCTGAACATTCCAATACATAGAAAAGCCTTATTAAGACATATTTAGACACCGATCTCCTGTTACTACAGACCAATGCCTGTCAATACCAATGCACGTCATAACACCACATATCACTACAGTATTTTCGCAAATCATGCATGCTGTAGCCTTGATCACATTCTTAGGAAACTCCATGAACGTTTTTAAATTTTATCATCACAAAAACAAACCTGTTCTTCCTCGGCTGGCGTGAAGTCATTCTTAATGTTGAACGTCTTGCGTATCTCCTCCGGCGTCTTGCCCTTGATCATGTTTGCTACGGTCTTACATGTTACGTCTAAGAGGCCCTTAATATCCAAGTAGTTTGCCGCCTACAAATAAGAAGTAGATACAGTGAGGCAGGTTTGCAGTAAATGGCCTCAAAAACATTTAATTTAGCCCAGGTCGGGGCCACTCAATCTATCTGCAGCTACATTATTGAGACATATTGTAGTGCTGACCCTGCAACTCACTAGCAATGACTAATGTAACAGCTACTCAACTGCCTCAATTTAACCAAATATGGCAACATGAATCATCCACAGCTATAGATTTACATCTATGAGATGGATGATGAAAGTGGATGCTGTCTGTGTAGCTCAACAATAATGACCGATGTCGCAGCTACGCAATCCTGCACCTACCAATATCAATTCGAAGAGCGTGCCCTGGTCAACCTTCAGAAACTCTGCATCCCAGGAGGATATGTCATCCGTCCGCTTCTCCTTGTTCTCATCATCTTCGGGTGGTGGTGGGTCATCTTTGTGGTAGGTGCACCACTGGATGACCTTCTTTAGAATGGCAGCATTGACGTTTGGAAGCGGCACGGCCTCCTCCTCATCTTCATCCATGCCGAGGTCTGAAGAAAAACGAAACAAGAAGCAGCCCTGTGAATTGCGTCACCAACACAGACACACGAACATGCCTAATAGTGACCCAGCCGTGTGAAAGAGACTGCATCATCAGACACTAGGACAAAACATTGCAATGTGTGCCACGAAGAAAAGTTGGACACACCCGAGTTACTTGAGATTTTAAGGGAAACCTTCATCTTGGCAGTTCAACCACATAACTACCCCTTTAGATATTAACTGTACTCCTGTTATAGCAAAACGACATCTTTGGGTGCCTTTAACAACACACACTACAACTAATACTAGATGCCCTACCTTCTAACATTGTTTTTATGGTCACAGACTGTTTAGCAATCTCCACATCAACCTCAAAGATTTCGCCATCGGAGCTCTGCAATTTTATGTTCGGCATCTGCAAGTTAAAATATAGCATACAAAACCTTGCACCTTACTTGAGTAACAAATGTCCCTCTAGGACTACATATGGGGCTATGACATCAATCGTTATTCAACACCGAAAAATAAATTATTTGAAATTGGCAACCACCAAACAAAAGCGCATCTCATTGAGTGACCTAGTGGTTTTAGACTAGTACAGAATCTCTATTACTTAATGAAAGTTACCATTAACAAAGTGTAGGAAAAAGATCTCGTGAAAAACAAACCATCTAACCACAGCAGCAAGTGGTTAAGTTAACAAACAAATTTTAGTCGTTGAATATTCTGGTGAAAGTAACAATGTGCAAGAACAGGTAACATCCCAGTTGGCCTACTCCCATTCCGTCTACTCTCAGAATCGGCAATATTCCCATTTCGCCTACTACCATTGTTTCATTTTTATGCTACTGTATTTTCTATTTTTGTCAAGTTGTGTTCTCATTATTATTATACCTATGTTTTCTTCTGGTTCCTGTAGTCTATGTATGCCAATCAAAACCATATTTTATTATTTATAAATGATTATTTAGTGAACAAACCGATCGTAGACGAAATGGGAATGGGGTATATTTTGAGCGTAGATGAAATGGGTGTAGGCCAACAGGGAATTTTGCTGTAGGTGAAATGGGAATTTTGCTGTAGGCAAAATTGGAGTAGGCCAACCGGGAATAAACCGCCAAGGCATGTTGGCCTTACTATAGCACTTGTTGTTATGCAAGCAATACCAGTACGTATTGTAATCGTCAGAAACATACGAGAACGGTTAGGAAGACTGATCGAAATCATCACTCTAACCAACTTAAGCATTAGAACGTGTACCACTGCGAAACATATATAACATGACGATGGATGACGCATGGGAGTTTTTTAATCAATCTGTGATCTAGGGTAGGAACTAGGAAGTATATGTGACTGGCAAAACATTATTTTCACTATTACGACAATAGCTGAGTACTTACGCGCACACACACATTCATATGCATGTCGACATTAAGAAAGTAGATGGCTAGCCATGGTGTGAAAATTGTACCAGAAAAATTCAAGCTGTGTACATAAGCAATTGTTACCTACTTTGCAATACCTATACAGCCTGACAAACATCCATTACAAAAACTTTTACTTCAATCAATAAAAACTTGAAAACTTTGCATATGCCGATGAAACAAATTGTCCTATAGAATTATATATGCACACGAATCGAACCACCAGAGGGGGTAAGAGAGCCAAGAATCGACAACCAGAGCATAGAACAGACTCAATCAATAAAATATTTGGGTGTATATAATATATAGATAATAATTTAAAATGGTCATCGCATATAAAGGTTCTCGGCACAAAACTTGCTAAAGTGGCTGGAATTATATCTAGATTAAGACATTATACAGATATATCTACTCTCCTTCAGGTTTATTATGCTTTAGCATACCCATATCTTCATTATGCAGTGCTGAGCTGGGCATCATCACCTAAATATATTCTACATCCAGTAAAAGTTATTCACAATAAAATAATAAAATATATAGCATTCGGGAAATATCAAGAACATGTTACCCAATATTATAAAAAATTAAATCTATTGAAACTAGAAGACATCTATACTTTGGAACTTGGGAAATTCATGCATAAATATCACAATAATAAACTACCCATCTTATATAGAGAATACTTTATTAAAGTTAATGATATTCACCCCTATATTACACGTTATTCAGTTCACTCTCAATATCATCTCCCTCGTACTTTAACATCATTAGGACTAAACACACTAAAATTCAAGGGAGTAAAGTGCTGGAATGATATACCTCAATCAATAAAAGTGAACAATCTGAATTCCTTTAAATTTAATCTTAAGAAGTTTCTTATTAATAAATATATGTAGAAACTATTGTATTAAATTGAAGATATTTTATATAAGTAAGGTATGCATATAAATATAAAATTATATCTATATTATATTTATTTTGTACAGCATTGTATATAGCAAGGCTCGACACTAGCGGTGGCCCGGTGGCCCGGGGCCACCAAAAATTGATGTCGGGCCACCAAAATTTCCAAAAGTTAAAATTTGGTGGCCCGATCGGGCCACTAAAATTTCAAAGTGTCTATGTGATAAAAATAATTGTTTCTTACGTGCTAATCTCATTCAAAAGAGAGCGAGCAATTCGCGGAGCGAGGGCACACGTACGCACGTGCAGCATTCTATACCGCGGGCATACACGGGCGCACGGTTTAATCGATCGTCTACTGCGGCTGCAACAAGCCACATTATTGTGTTACAATACATGCGTCCCGGGAAGGGTCGGTACGGGACGCGGGACACATGGGCAAAATACGGGACGTCTGGTCACCCTGATTGCTAGCTAGCTGCACTGGTGCTCACTGTTTCGGATCCGAAGCGAAACTGCCAACTATTCCATGAAGATGATCAGTATTTTAATCCGAAGTGTAATATTAGTGCTTTGTAAGTTTATTTATGCATTTTCTCTGTCTCTTTACGCAACGAAATATTGAACTTAGTCTTAGACATATGGCTGCTTTTTCTTTTTAAATGCATGTCATGCATGCGTACCCAGGCTACTTTGTTGATATAATTATGGTTCTACTTTATCTTATTAAATCTGCAATATTTTATTTTT